TCAATTTGAAAAAAAAGGACATAAATACGCACTTCAAATTAAAGGCAACGCAATGCAAAATATGTACATATATTAACCTCTGTTTTAAAAACTGTTTGACAAAATGCCAATGCAAATGACTTTCGTTTACTTTAATAAAGCCTATACCTAAACGTAACAAGATAAATAGTTTTCAAAACTAGAGTCAAACCAGTTGACCGTTTGCTGCCAGGCATTCTGCCGAAAACAACAAATTGGCACGAACATATTGCGTTATAAAGACACAGCCTTTAGATCAACGAATTAAACTCAAAGAGCAAGAAAAACCCGGAAACAAGCACCTAGAATGAGTTTAATTTTAAAAATCTATTTTTAGTTGAGGTTTACACAGAATATTAAAAGCGAAACTGATAATGAAAAACATACAAGACTTCCGATTTTACATGAAAGTTAGCCAAATCATATTATTTGTTAAGAGAATAAAGAAACCTATTCAACGACAACTACTAACTTAATTAAAAAAGAAGCACATTGAGATCTTTAAAATTAATAATTATAAAGTCAAATTAATAGAAAACTGTCGATTAATAGCAAAAGAAGAAGATAGAAAAATCCAGCACGACGGAGCGGGATAAGTGAGAGAATATTAATTCATCCACTTTCGGCAATTAGGAGCGCCGCAAAGACAAGGAATTTTGACATCGTCATCTTCGAGCTCAAACTGGTAATCATATGTTAACTAAAAAAGGGCTTAATATTTCACTCAGAAAAATAAATGGGCTTTTATAAGAACTACTATCAACTTCAAAAAACTTGCACAAACAAACCTCTTCGCCTGCAGAAATAGGTCTATTTGCAATTATTATAATTTTTTTATCATCAGCCGTAGTACCAGAAGTTACCAAACAAGTTGAACAGTTCGGATCACAAGAATGGTTGATATATCTAGCAGGGCCTCCTGCCATAGTGGCGTCTATTACTCTTTCCTCATCAATACGAAACATGTAAACTCCTCGATTCTGTGCTTCATATTTCTTTTCGCGCATTTCACTCACCTTAAAGCAAGACAAAAAGTACACTCACATACCAAATCCACACGCAGAAAACAGCTCAAATTGTAATAAAAGTACTCACTTCACTCCGGATCAGCTCTCCCTTATACTCAATAATCATAGAATTCATTTCGATATTCTTTGACGCATACAAACCCAATCCCTGGATCCTTGAACGAGCTAAATAAACGTTATTCTTCCACTCTTTTTTCATCTTTTGATATTGTGAGTAAATTGTACTATTCTGCAACTGTCCTGGCTCAAAACGAGAGTATGGTGAAGCAACATAATCAGTCGGTATTCCAGAAAACCAAGATGGTTGCGCATTTGACTCTAGCAAAGAAGCCCGCGCCCCCCGAGCTAAAAAAAAGAAAAAAAAAAAATGAAAAAGTTAGGTATTGAAATTCTGAACTTTAAAGAAAGTTGCGGTGAAATTTGTAAAACAATCATAAAAATGTGAAAATCATTGTTTGTAGAGAGCATAATGGCCAGATGAAGTAAAAAATTACTCCGAGATTCTCTAGTGGTTTCAGTATCTGTGGCAAGACGGCGCGCCATCGCTGTAGGAGATCTGTGTAATGGTTTATTTTTGTTCTTTATAAGTGTTCGGAATCGAGGTTCGCATCGTGCACAACCACTAGGATTGACAGCCAACGGAAGGTCCATTAATGGACTCCCGCCATGTTTAAAAGTATAAGTAGCTAATTGATCAACGCCCGGCAACTGCAAATATAGTAAAAGATAGAAAAAATTGCTCAAAAAAATTTCGATAACAAAATCCACTATCCTCACACACTCACCGACTCAATCATTTTCGAGATCCCTGATTCGTTTAATCCAAAAAGTGTTTCGCCAGAAGCGTGAGACGGGAAAAGCCTGAGCATCAAACCTGTCTTGTCCCTAGCCGTTTCTGCTGACTTTAGAATTGGGTCCCATGGAGCTGCAAAACAAGAACCGTACTGAAACAAATGTCAACAATAAATGGAAAAGACAGAATGTACTTAACGTACCAGAAGCGTTTGGTCCTTCATACTTGCATTCACTGAGCTTGCCACCTGTTTCGTAAGAAACAACAAACACGGCATTGGAATCTTTGTTCTCCCTAATTGAACACTTGTACCTTATTTTCTTGCACGCATTGACAGGAGACCAAAAAAAGCGTGTAACAGTGTAGCCAACCTGAAAATCTCGAAACAGTTACAATTCTGAAGCATGATGCACCTTAAATTCGTAGAGCATTACGCACAATTAGTCTTTTAGTAAAACCATTCTACCTTGCCGTCTCTGCCCTTCCTTAGTCATAGAAAAAATCAATGAACAAGTGAAGCAAACGTACTGGGAATATAAAGTCTGCATTATGGAACTTCTTTAACTGGTCTGGTAACAGCTGCCCAAGGTTATGAAACAGTAAAGAGCCAACGCGAAGTACTAATTTCTCACTGTCGCAATGCTGGAAGAGTTTTGCAATCACCTGGTTTTCTTCTCGCTCAACATATAACCTTCTGAATGCACCTAGTCGCTCCAAGGCCATTTCAGTTCGTACATCATCATGATTTTCACAGAAGAATGTCTAAAAATAAATCTACTCTAATTTTCATTCTTATTCTGATG